TAAACTTGCCTGGAAAACTGTGATCCTTATTTGTGATCTGAGGAAGGTTTATGGAGATGATTGCTCGAAAGAGCATCAGCGATTTACAAATGGCAACTAGTTTGAAAGAAGTCCAAGATGGGTGTGGACCGGACAATAGTCAAGCCCATTTCGTCCTATTTCCAGAGTTGGCAATACTTTATACTTGGGATGACAATTCCGCTCAACTAATAATTAATTGAGGTCACTTTGGTACCGCACACAGCCTATAGACGATTTTATATCATTTAATGTTTCAAACCGAATTTTAGTTGTGTTTCTTACATTCATCTGACCACAAATAGCCTTGGTAAGGGTATGAATTCATCCCTTTCTCCCTGTTATACCGGAACATTACCTATTCTATTGTAATAGACTCTCCCACACACAATAAGTAGTAGTAGCAGTCACCAGTTGGGCTCAGTGGAGTTGAGTGAGTCAGTCGATGTCGGACATTGAAGTATCAACGACCACAACTAGATCGTTGCGTCATTAACTGTTATTTCAAGTTCCTAACGTTTTGTACGTCGGACCCTTTTAGGAACGATTAGCGAAATACAAGCCTCCACTGTGAAAACTACTCTACAACACTCCCCATGATACGGATTAAATAACAGGACAGAGAAGATTACTATTGTCTTCATAAAGAAACGGCAACATACTGCGGGGGAATTTTCTCCATCGTCAGTCATAAATTGAAAGACGTACGATTGCTCAAGCGTGTAACATATATGGCCCTAAATGATGGCTGGATTCCTGGACCCTTAATTGTTCAAAATTTGGAATGTCATCAAGTGAACATTACTTTGTTCGCGAACGAGCTTAAACCATTATTAACGATCTTCTGGAAGCTTTCTCATTTATTAATTCAATTAGCGAGAGAAGAAAAAAGACAGTTTGACAACGCGAGAGTGAAAACGAGAAGTATTAAGTATGGGAAGCCGTTGGTATAAACCAATGGCTTCTGTTATCAATTATAGGCATTTAAGAATATTTGTGGAGATTTTCGTAGATTATTTGGTAAAGGTTAGGCTTCAACTATTTTATGTATATAGCTTCAAGAATTTTTAGTTTTTGTTTATTGTTTTCAGGTTTAAGCATAGTTGTGTGACGTCACGAGCTGCGACGCGATTTTCGCTTCCGTGTATCGTTGCTTAGAAATTGTTCATGCAACAAAAACAGACTCTCATTATTGTTTCGTCCGTGTATTGGTTGATATATTGAAAAGTAATTGTCATCTTTGATAATGGCTTATGTAAGCCGAAAGCTCAGATTGGATTTAAACATGTATCAATATCGTGATTTCCTTTCGTCTTATTAATCTTATTAAGGTTATCGGACAATATGAAAGGAACTTACTTAAAATAAATAGACAAAACCTGTCTATATTATTTAATGAAACATGCCTCAATGAAAAAATTTTGCCTAATTATACACTATATATATATATATATATGTATATATATATATATATATTGACCACTAATATTATATATATATATATATACACGTACATACATACATACATATGATAACATGTTTTCTTCAGTTATATATATATATATATATATATATATATATATATATATATATATTATAAATTAATATATATATTATAAATTGATTTAAAATGGTTTTCGTTACACAGTTCTAACCATGTTTCAAAAATGGAAGCTAAAAGCCCCGAATTTAATTTTGTAATGAAATTAAAGACATTAGTTCCATTTCATCCTCAAGCGAATTTTGGAGTAACTTTTAAAATTACTGGGTTTTAAAGACACAGCTAAAATCATAATTCATGTTTCCAAGGTTACAGATAAATCGACTTTCACTAGACAAGGGGTGTCTGCGTGTTCATTATGTCTGTATTTTAATGTATCAGTTATTAGCTACGTTTTGGTAGGGGGTAGCTATGTATTTTTCAATGAAATCTAACATCCGTTAAAAGCATGTCGTCTGGATTTTTAAAAAAATTTATTGTTAACGGCAAAAATTCTTACGGCATTTTTTTCCCATTCGTATATTTAAAGATTTTTGGGGGGTGTCTAGGTTAGAATACTTTTTATTTAACTACGATTTGAAATATTAGTTAAATATTTTTAATCAATTAATTTATAATATTAATGCTCTATAAATTTACATTGAGCACTATTTTGTAAAAATAAAAATATCTATAAGAACACAGGATTATATATCTTACTGTTCTTTCTTTTTATTTACATATATATATATATATATATATATATATATATATATATATATATATATATATATATATGAATAAAAATGACAATAGGAAAACTAGTGATTGCTGACACGTTTCGTCCAATGGACTTAATCAAAGCAAAATACGAAATGAATATAATTTAACAAGGTAACTAATAAAAACAAAAACAGAATGTACCTAGCAACTGGAATGTTGAGAAACGCTATTTTCATATTGTTTAGCCTTTCTCTGCATTCCAGTTGCAACGAAACGCGTCAGCAATCACTAATTTTCCTATTGTCATTTCTATTCATAAATATTGTCTTCTCTACTGGTTAAATCGGAGAAATAAATTGAACTGAACTTATCCGACGTGCAAATTTTCGGGATAACATTTAAGACATTACTCAACTTATTGAACTATTTAATTCATGCCACGTTGACTGATATACTCCCACAAAAAATATTTAATTGCCATATTAGTAAAACACGCAAAAAAATAATTCAACTTTAGCCTTGCGATTGCACTTCGCACAAGTTTGGATACGTTTATCAATAACACATTTCAATAATAATAAAAAAAACAAAAACATTTCGATTCGCATTGTATTTTTTCCTTTCGGATGCTACCTGAATTTTAACAAAAACAAAATAATTTCCCTGCCTGATGATGACTGGACGACCCGTTGAAAGTACTTGCGCATTTAATACAGTTTATAATTTTAATAAACAAGTATGATAACGTTCATCGAGTGATTAGGGTATTAATGCAAATTCAGCATTTAGTTAGTGAAGGAATTTTTTTATCATTAACTTTACTAATTTTCTTTTTGTATGAATGATTTTTGTACTATATATATATATATATATATATATATATATATATATATATATATATATAGTAAAAAAAAATCATTCATATATATATATATATATATATATATATATATATATATATATATATGTGTGTACGTTAATGGTCAGAGCTGGATCACAACAAAAAAAAGTAGTATTAAAAAGTGGTCACTGTAAAGAACATAAATATAAAATTAAAAAAAATATTTGAAAGATAATTGTGTAGCGTCCTTTGTGATTTTTTTAAAATAAAGCGTTAAAGTGCTCATGTTAAAAGTATCGCCCAAAGAGATCATCAGTTTGAAACCATGGTCGCATATTTTACTTGACCTCCTGAGTTTTAAAGTTATATATATATATATATATATATGAAGAAAAATTTGGAAAAAACAAACAAAAATCCTTAAATGCAATTATGTTGTTTAAAATGAATGAAATGTCGACGTCTGACGTTTCGGTTTAATAAACCTTCTTCAGGACAATATTCATTAAAATACAATTCAGTTCAATTTGACAAAGACGATGGACATATATATATATATATATATATATATATATATATATATATATATATATATATATACATTACTATGATGTCAATGTCATCGGCTCTTCCATGAAAGGATTGGTTAATCACGGTAAAACTATAAAAATTCTTTTAATTGAGTTTTTTTTCGAAAAAAGAGGAAGTATCCTGCCTTTGAAATTAAATTAACCGTTCACTCGCCAGTAATTTTACCATTACCCGAGTAGACACATTTGTAGTGTTGAAACACGATTGCTATTGTGTAACGATTTCTAACATTTTTGTTTTAATCTCTTAAAACGCTACTCAGTATTGAGCCCTCTTTTAAAAGAAATGTTACGCACGGTGTAGTTATACTTCATTTGATTTCATCTTTCCTGGATACATATATATATATATATATATATATATATATATATATATATATATTGGATATAGATGTGAGTTTGTGACCCTGGGTTTCACGCTTTAGCGATCGTCAGACAAACAAGCACTAAAGCGTGAAACCCAGGTCACAAACTCACATCTATCCAACAAATATGTTAGCTCTATCTCTGATATTGAGCGCTTTCTAATATGTATAAATAATTACACACACACACACACACACACATATATATATATATATATTTATATTTATATACACTTTTCACATATATATATATATATATATATATATATAATGTCTGTGTGTTTGCGTGTGTGTGTTCATGTCTGCGTGTATTGTTTGAATATGGGTTACGCTTTACTCAATAGGCAATAAATCTTGTCTCATCATCGTCACGTCCAGGTTGCGCAGTAATTCCCGTAAATAATTAACCAGCCTCACGATCCTACACCTTGGAAACGTTTATGACTGAACGAAAGGAACACGTATGCATTTACACGGCAGGACACCTGTTGACACTGGACTCTTTCACCATACTGATCCTTATCGCAGCATGCATCACCGTCCAATGCGCAGCCACGAACGCCCCCCTGGTATGAAAGGGATTACATCAATTAATACCCGAAGTCTTTGAAAACTTTATTAGAATATTTATTACCTAGTTGTAAGGAGATAGTGTAACCAGATTAAAATTGGCGCCCTCTTTCAGAACATTATCGAACCTTTACGGGACGTAGTGGAGATTTGTATTCGTCCCCAAGACCCTGAACTCAGTATCAGGGAGATGTGGACGACTATTGAGACGTCATAGACCAGCACCTCTTCAAATATCTTCCCAACATATGTGGAATAGATGCCATTTTCAGTAGCTGCTCTTTGACTTGATTGATTGCGTCATGCATTATGGGAGCTCTTTTGGCGCGTTAGATATAAGGACAAATAGATTTGGTTTGTTTTGTTTTGTTTTACGGCATATCAACCTCAACAGGTTATTGAATGCCGACAAGGTTTTAATGATGGTAATATTTTTTATCTATCTATCTATCTATCTATCCATCTTGGTCACTTCATGTCTATCTGTCTCGCTTGGTCTTTTCATATCTATCTATCTATCTATCTATCTATCTATCTATCTATCTATCTCAGTATATATTAGTTTGGTTTGTTTTCTTTTAGGGCATATCAACCATAATGGGTTATTTAATGCCGACAACATTTTTATTGATATCTATCTATCTATCTATCTATCTATCTATATATATATATATATATATATATATATGTCTGTGGATGACATTATATATACTTGGGAGTCAGTGTGGGTTTGTAAACAGTGACTATTATCGCTGATATAGCGAGATTCTTCGGCAAAAGTGAATTGAGTCCTGTCGGTCACTGTGTGTTTATCTAAAAATAAATACGCTAAAATTCACTTTCATCCCTGCCGTGAGTTGACTTCTTGGTGGTAGAATCACCGACTGACGCCAATTTAGTCGGGTTTCGATCCTCGCTAGAGGCAACCGGAAGTCTAGCCACACTGAACAGCTGCGAAACAATCTGTCTGTGGATGGCATTATATATATATATTAGTATATATTGGTTTGGTTTGTTTTACGGCATATCAACCTCAATTGGTTATTTAATCCCGAAACGATTTTTATTGGTGGCAATATTTTTATCTATCTATCTATGTTTGGTTTGTTTTGTTTTACGGTTTATCAACCGGTGGGTTATTTAATGCCGACAAGATTTTTATTGATGGTAATATTGTGTCTTAAAAAGTATTGTTGCTAATCATTTTTCCTAAAAATCTATTGCAGGGAATAATTTTTCTTCAATAATGTATTGCTGGTAATAATTTTTCGGAAAAAGTATTAAAACCTATTTTTGTACTTTCATAGTGTTTTGAACACTTTTGGTGAGTTAACTATTTGCTCATATCTGGGACCCTAACAGGTGCTACCACCCCAGGTCATGGTGGGCCTGGTAATACCAGCAATTAAGAGATGGTTCCATGCTCGTCAAAACTTCCTGAGCCGAGGTCTAGCTGTTGGACGTAGTTTATCGTCTTACCCAGGATGTGGGTGTAGTTTATCGTCATACCTAGGACGGAGACAAAAAGACTGAAATTGGCGTAGAGTTGAAAAAGAATGAAAGAAGGAAAGAAAGAAAGAACAAGAGAAAAAAAGAAAGAGGCATAGAACACTTGAATTAAGAATCTATTACGAACGAAGTAAATGAGCGGAAACTCAATGCACAAAGAAAGAAAATAAAGAAACATAATGTTCGGGAAAGGATAGTGAAGGAAATGAATGAAAGGCAAGAAGTGAAAGAAAGAAAGAAACAAATTGAACATGTAGTGATAAGAAAGAAAGAAAGAAAGAAAGAAAGACCGAAAGAAAGACATAAAGAAAGAAAGAAAGCAGTTTCTCTTTTTATGTGTGCCTCTGGATGTGCTCCTTCGCAATCGTCTACTAAATTCAATTCATTGTCCTTATTCATTTTTCTTTCTCTTCTTTCTTTTATTTCTCTTCCTTCTTTTCTTTTCTTTTCTTTACTTTTTTTTTTTTTTCTTTTTCTTTCTTTATTTCTTTTCGTTCATTGTTTGTTTCTTTTTTTCTGAGAGAGAGAAAACAAAGAAACAAACTGATGCAAATAAATGAAGACAGAAAGAAAAAATAAGACGAAGAAAATATAATGTAAAATCAAAGAGAACATTGCGAAGGAAGAAAATGAAAGATACAGGTAGAAATAGAAAGAGAAAGACAAAGAAACAATTGATGTGCAAGTAAATGTATTGAAAGAAAGAAAGAAAGAAAGAAAGAAAGAAAGAAAGAAAGAGAAGGCAGAAGGTAATAGAAGAAAGATGATGAATAAGAAATTAAAAACAAAAACTTTTCACGTCAAAGACGAAGATGAAGGAGACGGAGAAAGAAAGAAAGAAAGAAAGAAAGAAAGAAAGAAAGAAAGAAAGGGAAAAAGAAAGAAAAATGCTAATAGAGGAAGTAAGAATCCATTGTGTAGGAAGAAAAGGATGTATGCGGAGAAAAAGAGAATCAATTAAAATTATGTAAAAAAGAAAAGAATGGAAGAATGAAAACAAGGAAGACTTAAGAGACAAAGAAAGAAAGAAAGAAAAAAAGAAAGAAAGAAAGAAAGAAATAACGCAATGTTGTATTCATGAGATGACAGTTAAAGAAGTCAATGAAGCACAGGAATAGAGAAAAAGAGAAAGTGAAAGATGATGAGAATCTCAAGAAACAAAATTACATTATATGATAAAAAGAAGGAACGCCAGCAAGAGGTCAATGGAGAAGTTGAGAGATAATGAGAAGAAAAGAAAGAAAGAAAGAAAGAAAGAAAGAAAGAAAGAACGCCAACAGGAAAGAAAGCTAACAGGAAAGAAATGAAGAAAGAAATCAAGTAAGAAACAATGCAAGGAAGTAAGCAAAAAAGAAGGAAAAAAGAAGAAAGCCAACAGGAAAGAAAGCAAGAAAGAAAGAAAGAATGCAAGCAAGAAAGAAAGAAACAAATAAAGAAAGAAAGACAGAAAGAAAGAAACAAACAAGCCGCGCAAGCAAGCAAGAAACAAAATAGGAAAAAAGAAAGCAAGAAAGAAATCAAGCACACATGAAAGAAAACACGAAATAACAAGAAAGAAAGCAAGAAAGAAATCAAGCGAGCCAGAAATTAAGAAAAAAGAAAAGAAGAAAGAAAGCAAGCAAACAAAAAAGGAAACTAAAAAGAGAGCAAGAAAGAAAGCAAGCTAGCAAAAAAGAAAGCAAGCAAGAAAGAAAGAAATAAAGAAACAAACAAATCGAGCAAGCAAGAAAGAAAGCAAGAATAAACAAGAAAGAAAGTAAGCGAGCAAGAATGAACGCAAGTATGGGAGAAAGGAAGCAAGCAAGCAAAAACGCCAAAAAGAAAGCAAGAAAGAAAGAAAGCAAGAAATCAAGTGAGCCAGACATTAAGAAAAAAGAAAAGAAGAAAGAAAGCAAGCAAGAAAGAAAGCAAGAAACAAACAAATCGAGTAAGCAAGCAAGAAAGAAAGAAAGCTATCAAACCATAAAGAAAGCAAGAATAAACAAGAAAGAAAGAAATTAAGCGAGCAAGAATGAACGCAAGTATGAAAGAAAGCAAGCAAAAAAAAGCCAAAAAGAAAGCAAGAAAGAAAGAAAGCAAGATTGAACGCAAGAATGCAAGCAAGCAAGACAGCAAGAAAAAAAAATCATATAAAAGGAAAGAAAAATTGGATGGCTGAACATCGTCGATTGATGAATAGTTTTGTTTTGGTCACGAATCCAAGCGTAATTGATGAATGTTGATATAAGAGATGATAAGATAAGGTGCACAGATAAGCACGGCGACATAGTTATAACGGGCAAAGTGCGGGGCGAGGGTGGGACAGGAGCAGTGGGCAGCGGTTTGGTCGCCAAGTAGAGGCAGGCGAACCTTGGCACCGGAATACCGGCAAATCCACACAACGAAAAGCCTTCATCTCTCGCCCTCATCTCCAAGACAAAAGCGATACGGAAATTTGTTTGTAAAATTAGAAACAGAAAAATGGAAATAAATAGATATTTAATAATCATGCATTAGTTCTGGCTTGAGGCCATGAGCATGGCGCTTATTGGTTAGACTGAACACACTACTTTGTAAAAATTATCTCCAAGACTAGTTCTATAGATGGGTGTTCGTGTCTCTCAACAACTGCTCGGATAACATATATCTTTCACCTGGTGCCCTGTCTGCATGAATTTAAGCGTGCTACTAGAATGGATAGCGGCTAGGATAGAGAAATTGGAAAGCCGAGTTCAAATTCTAGTTGAATCCATTACATTCACTTACCTGCTAATACCCTTGGGAAAGGTATGAATCCTCTTCTTAAGTGATGGGTAAATAGCAGGACAGACCGGTTCTATACCTTTGGACGGCAACTGTTCTACAGCAGAAAGAAATTGCAAATTAATGCGGGAAAAAATCTGCCTCGTCAGTCATGTATCGAAAGATACATCATCGCCTAAGTGTGTATCACGCATGACAAATAACTGACTAAAAGCGACTCGGATTGTGGAACCGGATAGCCAAGCTCGATTTCCAGTCGAATCCATTACATTCACTTACGTGGTAATAACATTGGGAAAAGTATAAATCCTATTCTTCTTCCTCCCACCTCTGGTTAAAAGCAGGACAAACCGGTTTCTATAGTCTTGGATGGCAACTGGTCTACCGCTGGAAGAAATGGCAACCTTCTGCGGAAAAAAATCTGCATTGTCAGTCAGGTATCGAAGGTACATGATCGCCTAAGCGTATATCATATATGGCACATAATTGACTGACTTGATTGGCCAGTAGCTCTGATTGTTGTACTGTTGAACAAGTTAGATGCAACCACTAATTTTAATCTTTTTTTCTTGCACTTCCCACCTGTGGAACATCCTTCCAATTATTTGCTACAATCTTCGAAAATATAAAAACTTTCAATCTTCTCATTATCTTTCACTTTGTCTTTAACTTTCACTTTTACTTTCACTTTATATTGCACTTTCACTTTCACTTTTTCTTTATATATTTCTTTATGTTCACTTTCACTTATTCATATACTTCCCCTTTCACTTTATCTTTTACTATCACTTTCACTTTATGTTACACTTTCACTTTAATTTTACTTTAACTTTTTCTTTACTTTACTTTCACTTTCAATTTATCCTACAAGCGTTACTGAATGAGATTGTTGTAAGGGCGTGACAGGAATCAGAATAAATATGAGGATATTTATCATATATAACGGTTGATAGTAGAATTGAATATATTAAGATTTTTGTGGTTTGGAAAGCATCCTCACGGGAGGCTGTTCCACAAAATGACACTTCTTGAGAAGCAGATGTTCAAGTGTAATTTCCTCCTAACCAAAGGAATACGGAGGGAGGACGAAGTGATGACCTATGGGGAAAGGTCGATCCAAGCTGAATTCGTGGAACATAGGAATGTGGCTAATTTGAACATTTGCCTTACAAATAGAAGTAAAATAGCGAGAGTCTAAAAAGTTTCATAAGCACAAAGGAATTGTGGAAAAGATTTGTTCCATGTTATCCACCCCTAGTCCATTTTCTGCTATTTATTTCCACAAGGTCTTTGGGTAGAATTACTTACCGT